AAAAAAAAAAAAAAAAAAAACAAAGGAGAAGTTAATAGGTAATAAAACCAAAATCTTGCTCAGAGATTGTTTAGAAACCACTGGATGGGAGGTGGTGGTGGCTGAACTTAGAATGGAAGCTCAGCAAGATTTCTGTCCGAAGCTGCTGGAGAAAGTTGCTGGGAGCCAGTCCAGGTGCTAGAGGAGCAGAGAAGTCTCATTCCAGGTGAACTCCAGTCCAGTAGGAGACAGTGGGGTGAGCCGTCTCCAAAAGGGACAGACATGGGAGGAGCGAGGGAGAAGGTGGCAGGGAAGCTTCATGAAAGGAGACAGGCTGTCCTAGGAGGGTTCTGTGCTCAGAGGAGAGAAGTGTCAGAAAGCCTCTCCTCTCTCAGCCTCTGCCTCTCCCTTCCTTCCTGCCTTCCTCCCTCTCCCTCCCTCTTTTGCTCTCCTCTCCCCCTCCCTCCTTTTCTTCCCTCTCCCTCCCTGTCTCCCTCCTTCCCTCTCTCTCTCTCAATCTCTCCCATCCCTCTCTCTCCTCTCTCCTCTCTCCCGCCATCTCCCTCTCTTTCCTCGATTCCTCCCTCCCGCTCCCTTTCTGCTTTCTCTCCCTCCCTCCCCTCTCTTCTCTCTCCCCTCCCCTTTCTCATCTCCCCTCTCCCCCTCCCTCCATGAAAGTGGTAAACTCTAACCTAAGCTTTGCTTCTGATAAATCAAGGGTCCAGGTGTGGTTTCCAGAAACAGTCAATACAAATATTTATAGGTATTTGTTGTTTATTTGATTTAATTGCGTGAACCTCAGCCCAGGGAGCTCTGATCTGCCACAGACACCTCACCTCCCATTTCCTTGGTTGGTCGCTCCCCAGACACTATGGGATAGATATGTGTGCCTTCTTAGGACATGACAGAAACGCGAAACAGAACAGACAGGAACTCGGCCCTGTGAACAGTCAGCATGGTGGGGATTCTATTCATTCTGTGCCTCTGTAAAAAAAAAAACAACCAACATAGGCCCCAAAGAGTGTAAAGATAAGGCTTGAACACCGTCTTCTGAAGAGACTTCCCATTGCTAGCGCAGGCTCTCAGGATGGTGGTTGTGGACTACCAGCCCTCCCTACTCCATCCCTGGGGCTCCCCACTCTCCTCTCATCCTCCTCCAGCTTCCCCTCCACCCCCACCACCCTCCCACCCACCAGCACCACAGGTTTTTTTCCCACCTTAGCGCCTGGTTTAAAATTGCAGTCCTTCACTGCAAACTGTTGACGTCCTGCTAGGGACCCTACCCTTCTAGAATCATCAAGGCTGCATTCTCACAACTGACTTCGCCTGCCCTCCCCAGCAAGACGTGGAAGGAAGACAGAGGTGGTCCCAGCCCTGCAAGCCAGTGCCCCAGGCGAGGCTGCAGGGCACAGCAGAATGGGGCTTGCACTGAAGATAGGCTTTTGCGCCCTGTCTTTTTCACGCAGCAGTCACCAAGTGCTCTTTGCAAACTCAACCCTTAACGGTTTACTAGGGCAAGGCCATTTCTTTACCCCATCCCTATTATTGAGCATTTACATCATTTCCACTTTTATAGGATTTTGATCTTAAATTCTCAAAGGGAAAGAATAATGGAGTCATGATAGGCCAGGCATGATGGCTTATGCCTGTAATCCCAGAACTTTGGGAGGCTGAGGCGGGCGGATCACTTGAGGTCAGGAGTTCAAGACCATCCTGACCAACATGGAGAGACCCCATCTCTGCTAAATACAAATTTAGCTGGGCATGGTGGCACATGCCTGTAGTCCTAACTACTCGGGAGGCTGAGGCAGGAGAACCACTTGAACCCAGGAGGCGGAGGTTGCGGTGAGCCGAGATCATGCCATTGCATGCCGGCCTGGGCAACAAGAACAAAACTCCATCCCAAAAGAGAAGAGGAGAGAAGAGAAGAGAAAGGGAGGGGAGGGGAGAATGGAGTCATCATAATTAAGAATTTACAAGCTGTGTGCCCATTTTACCCTTCATGTATTATTGTGGCTTGGCATGTTCAGTGATGAACTGTTTGATTTTAATCAAAAGATACATTTCAATAGGCCATCAGTAGAAAGTCCATAGTTCTAATCTGAAACATAAAGGAAAACTGGGGAGCAAAGGGGAGATCCCAAGCCATGTGACTAGAAACCATTGGCAATATGCAGAGTGGGGTGTGGGAGAAAATTATTTTCTTAAATGTTACCTTCTCAAGCGTAACGTTATTGAGGGACAGTGGTACAGAGAGAACATCCAAGAAAAGAGATACCAGCTTGGGCCACAGGTGGCTCTAATCTGTTCTGACTTGACTCTAGATGTCTCTATCCAAGTCCCATATCTCTCTGTTAAGGTCCTATTTGTGGTGCAAGAGAATGCAAGATGACTCTTCTTAAGGTAGGGGAGACGCTGAGGGCAGAGGAAACGTGCTGTGGCTTAGTTGAACCAAGGGGGA